TCAAAGAATTAAAGCTACCAACAATTTTTGATTCAACTATCACAGAAAAAATACAAATTCAAAAAAGTCCAATGTCAACACAATTAAATAGACTAAACTCATGGAGGGACTTTCAACCAAAATTAGATAAAAATGAAGGTGCTTACACACAAGATGATGACGACGACGATAATGATAATTTTGATAGTTTTGATAATAATGATGGTTGTGAAAAAAATGGTCACTTAAATGATATTACAAAAAATAATTTGGATCACGAAAAAAATCAAGGAAATGAAAAAAGTAATGAAAATATTAACACTGAATCAAATCAAAAATTAAAAGTAATTGACCACATTGAAATTCATATCGAATGATTTTATAACTAATTATAAACAAAGTCATACAGACGAGGTTGATAGTTCTAATCAAGCTGGAGACAAAAAATACACGATAATCAAAAGAAGTCATAGGTGAAATCTAAATAATTACAAGATAAACTAAAAACTTCTAAAAAGAAATCAAGTTGTTAGATTTAATCAAATTATTGTATAATATTTATTTTGATAATTGCTGACTCGAATGAGTCTGTTTATTAACCGATCATATAATAAAATCATATTTTCAAATGAATACCAGGAACGTAAGTGTATGGTTTATTGGCAAATAAACCGAAAGCAAAATCCTAAAGCTGAATGGATTATGCGTTTGTACAGATCATGATTTTTTTCATGACACTGATTTTGAAGATAAATTTTCTCGCGCGCATAACTACTAATAACCTTTTATAGACTGATTTTGTGTAACTGCAGGTTTTTCTTGGTTAGGATAATTATCGCATAAGTAGCTGCGCAACAGAGTTGCGCGAAACCAGGAACGTGGGAATGTGTGCTAGATTGGTGTATTATGGTCCTAGATTTTATAAAAAAAAAACAATGATAACAACATTATTATTATATAAAAATAAATCTGAACCGTATTTTAAAGAATCTAATTCTTATCTAATTACAACAATGTAGTAACCAATACACAATTTGGTTATGTTTATTATTTTGGAACGATATATGATGTTGGAGATAAGTTCAAAATAAGAAATAGTATGTATTTTGAGTTGTATAGAATATCATAGTCGTGAAGTTAAACATAAAGTACAATATTAGTATTGAGTGAAGGATTATTTGTATTAGGACGAGACAACATTTTATTTGTAAAGTTTTTTTCAGGACAGAGCTTTTGATGGTCGAAGCTTTATAATTAATATACTATTTGCTTTATATGTAGATTTTAAAACGACTGGGCGTTTATAGTAGAGTTAATGGAATAATAGCAGATATTACATGTTTAATTTTAATTTCATTTATAGAGGACGTCAAGCATGAATGTGATGCTAGTTACGCTAATAAGGAATATCTTCAGGTTCATAGCTATAATAAATTATTTATTTGCTGTGTACTATGAAAATTCAATTTTATGAATAAATTTTCTTCAAAATCTTCCAAAGTACGAACTTATGTTAAGTATACTTTATTGAATCTGATTTTTTTCGATTTATAAAATGAATAATTTTGTTTATGTAAGGGTTAATTTGTCTATAAAATATGATTTATTTTTAGGGAATGAAATATTGAACGACAATAACAACATCATATCGTGATGGTTATACAGTATAATTGGTATGTTATTTAGTGAATAGTATATGTGAGTAAATTGTTCAATACAGAAACGTCCACATATTTTTCGTGTATTTTATGACTTATACGAGGCAGTCATACAAATTATAATCTTAGATTGGTAAGTTACAAAAAGATATGGATTAAAACAAGTGAGGCTTGTTATAGTTTTATCATGAAATTTTAGCATATTTTATATCACAGTAAATCTCTCTAAGTTAATCTCTCGTAACTACTATCGTAAAAAAAAAAAATAGCAAAAAGTGTATTTAAAGGAGGTGTGCATTAGAAAGGTTAAGATTTATAATCGTCAGATTATTCGAGACTAAGCAGAGGCGTCTGTGCATTTAGAAAGATTATTATATACTGCGCACTTAAGGAGGTGCAATTAGAGAGGTCTGACTATAATTGTATTTAAATTATAATATCAAGAATTAATTCATTATTTAGTTTATATTAACTAAGTGGTACACAGACCTTACACAGAAATAACAAAATATATACAGTTAGCTGTCATATGAGTTGTAATAAA